GGTAAGTTTATAGTAAGCAAGTAATGGTTCCTCACATGGGGAACGTTATGGTAAGTTTATAGTAAGTAGTGGTTCCTCACATGGGGAACATTATGGTAAGTTTATAGTAAGTAAGTAATGGTTACTCACATGCGGAACAATATGGTAAGTTTATAGTAAGCAAGTAATGGTTCCTCACATGGGGAACGTTATGGTAAGTTTATAGTAAGTAGTGGTTCCTCACATGGGGAACATTATGGTAAGTTTATAGTAAGTAAGTAATGGTTACTCACATGCGGAACAATATGGTAAGTTTATAGTAAGCAAGTAATGGTTCCTCACATGGGGAACGTTATGGTAAGTTTATAGTAAGTAGTGGTTCCTCACATGGGGAACATTATGGTACGTTTATAGTAAGTAAGTAGTGGTTACTCACATGGGGAACATTATGGTAAGTTTAAAGTAAGTAGTGGTTCCTCACATGGGGAACGTTATGGTAAGTTTATAGTAAGTAAGTAGTGGTTACTCACATGGGGAACATTATGGTAAGTTTAAAGTAAGTAGTGGTTCCTCACATGGGGAACGTTATGGTAAGTTTATAGTAAGTAAGTAGTGGTTCCTCACATGGGGAACATTATGGTAAACTATGATAAACAAAGATCAATGTCTTGTAATGGATGACACTAACAACACAAAGGTCACAGGTAAAAGCCTTAAAAAGAGTCTAAGGCAATAGTATGCAAAAAATTTAAGAAGGACCTCCATCTGGAAAAGTTACAAAGTCACATTTACACAAGTTACTTCAATAATATATTTGTTTAACCTTCATGTATCTCGAGCAGTTGGAAAATGAAATGGTTATTCAAGTTATTCCATATGAAAACATAGTGGTCAAGTCATCGGATGCAGCTCCTATGGATGTTAATAAAATCAGACTTGTTAAACATACACTGAGAAACAGTCATCCTCATACCTCAGATGGATTATGGAAACAATGCAGTGTTGAGAGTATGCTTTGAACAAGAAAGCCTTATAAGAGAGCCTTTTGCAATTGAAACTACACTGCAAGGCTATTGTCAAAATGCAAGGTCATCAGACAGAACGTGATCAAACATGGTGACATGGATTGTTATCGACAAGGTGATGCTACAAAACCTTTTTTATATAATGTACTCACTACCTGTAGAAGCATAGCTACTGCATAATTAACACAAATTATGTCTACTACAACATTTCAAAAAAAATGTTACCATATGCTTGTAAACCTTCACAAAAATTTTTACTAAATATATATACACAGCCTTAGAACCAATAGCTGAAACCATCTCAGTCTTTAAACATCACCACTTGTATATTTATCTCTGAGGATGTAGATTTTATGTCTGTAAGTAAAAGTGTAGAGCACACGGTTTCTTCTAAATTATGCTGAACTTTCTTTCCAAGGCCATAGACTGAATATCACTGAAAGAAGGTGGAGAAATGTCCTGTAAGCTCCTCCAATTCCTGTTGCTAGTTCTAACATACTAACAAATTTGTAGTATGATAACTAATAAAAACAAGACTTGTCCGTAGAGAAGACTCAGAATTAACATTCTGAGATAATTATATAATCTGTGGTCTTTTCATCAGTTGAAGAACCAAATACAATATTAAGTATATTAATTCTATCCCATTATCTGTTGCTCTAGAGTCTCCTGATGAAAGCCAAAAGTTGGGCCTATTGATGATATTAAGGTGTAACTTTACCTATAACCACTCACATACACCCTACTTTCAAGCCCCCCCAAAACAAAACAACAACAAGTGAATATTAAAGCATATTATATCTTATTTTAATAAGACATTAAACATACATCATGCTTTTAGATAACTTATTAGTTCAAAACTGATGCCGTTAACTCAAAGAGGTCTAGTAAACATCAACCTACAGCCATCGCCACGGCCATTTCAGATTCTGTGACTGTGTCCATTGGAGAAGATACTAACGGGGCTGCCAGAGCTAGTTTTCTTGTCAGAAGTGATGTCAGGACCTACAAAAGTTTCCAACAAAAAGTAACTATCAATAGGTGCCACTATTTAGTATTCATGGACAGTTTTGATGATAATTTAGTTATAAACACTATTTTAAGAAAACATGACATTTCAATTATTAAAACTTTAAACTTTAACACTGGAAAGAACTATTTACTTGGCTAGGTTAACTGTTACTAAACAACAACGTTAATATACATAAGCTACAAAACAGTTAAAAATGACATTTGAAATAATATTTTAAAAACATCAATGTTACAATGGTGTTTAAATTGATGATGGGAAGTTAACGCTAGAGAAATATCGACATACTTTAATTATTCTTTTATATCCCATTTTTAGCTGTTTCATTCATTAGTTATTACCAAAATTTATGAGAACTTAACATTAATATAGCCTTGAAACAAGATTGATTTACTTAACTAGAAAAACATAAAACACAATGAATAGTAGAGAATAAACAGGTATTGTTTAAACATAATAAACACAAAGAATAGTAGAGATTAAACAGGTATTGTTTAAACATATTAAACACAAGGAATAGTAGAGATTAAACAGGTATTTTTAAAACATATTAAACACAAGGAATAGTAGAGATTAAACAGGTATTGTTTAAACAATATTAAACACATTGAATAGTAGAGATTGAACAGGTATTGTTTAAACATATTAAACACAAAGAATAGTAGAGATTGAACAGGTATTGTTTAAACATATTAAACACAAGGAATAGTAGTGATTAAACAGGTATTGTTTAAACATATTAAACACAAGGAATGGTAGAGATTAAATAGGTATTTTTTTTAAATATTAAACACAAGGAATAGTAGAAATTAAACAGGTATTGTTTAAACAATATTAAACACAATGAATAGTAGAGATTGAACAGGTATTGTTTAAACATATTAAACACAAGGAATAGTAGAGATTAAACAGGTATTGTTTAAAAAATATTAAACACTACTTAAAAAAAAATTACTTTTATAGAACAAACAATTTAATTTACCAAATTAAGTTACTTTTCCTTCTAAATTTCTGAGTTTTCTTTAGGAAAAATAAAAACATAAAATTTTTAGTACTGGGATGAATGAAGCCCAAATAAAATATATAAAATCCTGGGAGGATTCCAAATAACAGAAGATATCAATGAATGCAACTTGGGATCTCAAAGTTTCAAACTAGTGTTGTATCTGTACTTTATCCAATTAAATTTAACTTGTGTTCTTTAAGTTGGTGGTTAAGTTAGAAGTCTGAAAAAACAGTAGAACAAGGTCAACTACTTATAACCATAGGAGCTACACTTAGTCAATTAAACTATTTGATTTCTTCTGTACCTTGTGTTCAATCAACCTATGTTTACACACATCTTCAAACTGAGACAAATGCAATTTTATTAAAGATTCATCGGCCCTATGATCAATTTCATCCTCTATATTCTAATTAGGAAAATTTCTAAACTTCCCCAAAAACATAAGTAAAATGTTAATACTTACCACATCATCAGGAGTAAAGTCAATATAGCCAGGAAGAATGAGAAAGTCACTGAAATAACAGTATTTAAAATGTTTACCACAGGGACACATACACCCTACAATGAAATGTCATTTTATATGTAAATACTACATGGTAGAACAAAATTGTACAAGTTAAATATATTTCTAAAGCCCTTGAAAATTCCTATATCTAACAAAAAATTTTTCTTTATAAAGGCCTAAAAATCAAAACATTATGATATATAATCTGAAAAAAATTTAATATCACAAGTATTACATTACATAAAAACTCAGTAATTTCTTTTGCTGAAACACTGTATTCAAAACGACTTACAAGTTACAGGCAAAGTAGCAATAAAATTAAAATTTGGTGATAAATACAGATGTGTGTATGTGGGACAGGAAGATCCAAGATGGTACTGACAACATGATGAAGTTTTCTGTTTTTCAAGTGATACTAATAAACCTGTAGCCTTAGATTTACCAATGATATTTAAGCTAATGGAATAGTATATCACTGGTATACTTAGTGACGATGAACAAATGTAGAATTGAAACAGCTTATTCTGTGAGTTAAGTTTGTGTTGGGATTTCAAATTCAAAAAGTACCATGACAAGACTTCACGTTCTGAAAAAAACTTGCTTTCAATACCAATAAAATATGACAACCATTTTAAATGGTTTACTCATTCAAAACAAAATATCTTATAAAATAAAAAATTAAACCAAAGTTATCTATTTTTTATACGAATTTTAATGTCTTAACCAATGTTATATATAAATATTTATTAAAGTAATGCAACCTTTAATTTTTCTACTTCATATAACAAATAATAAATAGCTACCAACATATTTATAATATGTGTGTGTTTGTATTTTTCAGTTTATTGACAAATGTCTTATAAATCTATTTATGATAATATCACGCTGAAGGTTTGTTCTGTAGTATTATCTTGTGTTATTTGCTTGTTCTGAGACATCAGTTTTCAAATTTCACATGATTTCACTTATGCAAATAACTCCGAGTCAGGGACAAGAAAAGTTTCTGTTTAGAATTAATATTAAATTAACACTCTTTTCAAAACTTCAAGACAAACCAGCTACTTTAAAACAAAACATACATAAAAATAATATTTGAGGGGTTTATAAGCAGGTCTAAGGCAAAATAAAGTCTATGTTTATAACAAACTTGAACGTGAGTCCATCGCCAACACCAAATAACTCTTCTCCTGAAAGTCCATCACGTGCTAAACTAGGATCTCCAGAACTACCCCAAAACACTCCATCATGGGCATCAGTATCAGCCATCGTGCAAAAATATGAAAATTAAAACCTTGGTCTTCTAAAAATTATAAAGACTAAATGAAAACGTTATACTTTCCTTAATTAACAATTCCAATGCATCTCTCATTTCGTGGTGTTACTACTCAAACTCTTCATTTAAACTTTTCAATGAAAGGATTTATAATGTGAACAAGATCTCTTTTTTTTATTTTTTCTTTAGACGACTGTTAGTATTATATCTACTTGGTGGCGCCACTAGTATTTGTTGTTTGTTTCGCAGTGGCTGGACAACCGGCAGTCGGAACCATCTTTCAAATTCTAAACACCCGGCAACAAAAAATTTGGATATTGATAAGCACATTCACCTCTCACTTGACTTAGAAAATAAGTAATTGCGAGACTAATTTGTCTCCAAGCTCGATGAAACGATCTGAATAAAACTTTTGCACCTGAAAAATAAATATCGATCGTCATTCTTGTCTAGTGTCGATCGGCGTGTGTCTTTGCTACAAGCTATGAGGAACGATTCTCGAAATACTAGACAACCGGCAGTCTGTAATTTCACGATCATGAAGATTAATAAGCTTCCGATATAATATATATATATATATAATTTGTGATATATTTTAAATTATCATTATTATTGTCGTTGTTGTTGTAGCTTATTAATATTCAAATTTTTGGACTGCCGGGTATTTAATAGTTTAAAGATCGTTCCCGGTTACTGAGTGCCCAACTACTGTGTATATATATATATATATATTA